TATTGCTAGGCAAAATACCACTGTCTTGAAATTTTTGTCTTCACAATGAATATATTTTTGAAAATTAATTTAACCATCTTTAGAAACAGTGGTAATAATTGCCTTTGAAGCCTTGATTTGTTTCTGGCTAAGTTCAGCTTTAACTCTCTCCACAGCACAGTAAATCTGTAACCTACCCACCACCTTTGTACAACTCAGGGAAACATAAACCCTCTAAGGGCAGAATGGTCACATTTTATGAACATAGTCATTTTTCCAAATGCACATTTAGCTGCCAACTGGAAGGACCGGAATATTGATAAAGGGATGTTTGTTGCAACCACAGACTGGTATGCCATTAGTATGAACTCAACTTCAAGGATGAAAGGAGAGGCATGACATGTTCTCAGTAAGTATGGAGTCACTTGAGGGACATGACTTTGCCTAAGCAACAACACACGATGCCTCAGCTCCTGTAGTTTATGCTTTCTATAGTATCACGTGTACCATCTTTGTTTGCAGCATTTCAAAAGCTTGTGAGAAAAAAAAGAGTTAATTTCATTTTTGTGGTTAAAAATTGAACTGCAATATTACATTTTTCAATTTTTTACATCTACTTCGTTGCTTTCTAAAATGAACGTGAATGCCATCTTTTATGAATGCAACTTGCCTTTTTCATTACAGAAATTTTCGTCTCATGTAATCAATAAACTTTGGTATGATATTATTAAAAAAATATTGGCTTTTTATCCATGAATCAAGTTGACTTTTTCTATTTTTCAGTGCAAGCAATCATGGTAATTTAAATTCTGAATTCATAGAACTGGACTTTGAAAACAGTTGGGTTTGAAGTTTGCAGCAGAAGAATCAACTGGGAGGACCCAATTTCATCCAATTTGTAGCTTGATTTCATCCAGCAAGACATACTTAAGCATGAAAACCTAAAAGTGGTAGGTGTTGTATTGAAATAGCATCCCACTTAGGGAGCAGCGAAGCAGAAAGCAATGCTGAATGCTTTACATCCCCTAACATGACATTATTCCAGCATGACACACAATCCAAAGCTTTGGCAATTACAGCTGTGACCCCAAATTAGATTTTAAAACATGTATAAATGTACATGCACTTAAATTTTTTTCCCTTCGTTTTGTCTCCTAATAGTTTGGAAATGCAAATTCTGGTTGCTTCTTAAAATAACTCCGTTCACACAGAATAGCATCCTCAGCTTACAGTACTTTGATAAAATCTGAGTTCTGATTTATTAGACTGGAGGTAGTCATGAACTGTCCTTAGCAATACAGTCAGAGGAGATGATCTCTTTGCCCTAGTGAAACACCATTGTTTAACTGAAATGACTCCATGGCTGGAGCCTTGAGATTTATCTGTGTTTTCTCTCTCTCTCTCTCTCTCTCTCTCTCTCTCTCTCTCTCTCTCTCTCTCTCTCTCCTTCCTTTCCTCCCTCCCTCCCTCTCTCCTCTCTCATTCTTTCTCTCCTCCTGTGTGTGTGTATGTGTGTATGAGATAGAGTTTATGTATGAAGGGGCACCATAAATAAAGTTTAAAAAAAGACAATGATGGCAATACCTAACTGACTCCTGCAAATTCTCTCTTTCTTTCCCGTGTCAAGATTAAGTCTCCTCCAGGCAGTGAATATCGTGAGCTCAGAGCAGAATGGTGGTATATTCCCCGGGCTTCAAGAGGCATTCTTTGTCTTCAGAAGGTGTTTTATACAACTGGGACCTACGAACTGGGAAGAGCCTTCTGACTTGCCATTGTCTGGATCCCCACAGAACTGGGCCACAGAAGACTTGGATCTGCATGCAGAGTGTAGAAATATGCCGATGTGTGAACATTCTCCGTTCTTGTGTCCCATGGCTTCCTGCCTCCCTTAGAAGATTATATAATCACTTATCTTTTCTATTTTTAAAGTATATTAATTTGATTTAGTAGAAAGAGGACAAGGGGGAAAAAGGAGGAATAATGGGAGAAAGCCAATATTATTTCTTTGAAAGCAGTTTGGTTTAGAGTCATTTTAATAAGCCCAGAAAATTAGAATTGGAAAAAGAAAATCAATTGTGACGCTATAATCTAGTTTGGAAAGGAACATAAATCCACACTGGCAAGGACTTCCTAGCACTAGATAATTAGGGCTGCTTTGTTCTCATGTGGAAGAGGCAGGGGATTCATTTGTTTCTTAAATCCATTATTATTATTAACAATGTCGTGTATACCAAGAATTCTCCTGAGAATGCAAGATGTTCACAGGGTACATCTATCATGCCTGCAAAGAGTAAGCAATGTATCTACCTCTGTTGAGTGCAAAGAAGTTATCCACAGACGTACTGAGAGGTCCAGGAGAGCTTTTGCCTAACTCTCCCACTTGTTGAGCTCCAGAGGAGCTTTCTAGTTTTTATTCTGGAATAACTAAAAAGATTTTATCCCCAAACCTTCTTCTAGAATGTTGTAATAAATGCACTCTACAGCCTAAGCTTCAGTGCAGTCTAAACTGATTAGCATTCAAAGACAAGGCCATCAGACAGTGTTTTTAGGAAACAAATTCTTGGTTTGTAGAACTGGGAAGAGAATGGGAAATTTTGCATTAGAATTGCAAAGTTATTAAGGAAGTCACATGCCTATAGTCATGAAGATTTTATTTAGTCAAGCTAGTCACATTCACGGCTGAAAAGTATAGAAGTTATGGATGTAGGAAGATTCCAAAGATCCAATTTTAACTTTATATGAAATGAAAGCATAAAAATCACCCGGATGGGATTCTTATAGTATGTGTGCACGTATGTGCGTGCGTGCAGGGGTGAATGTGTGTTGAAAGCTCCCTAAGCTAAAATAAGTGCTAAAATGATGATAGTTACTATTAGTTCTTTTAAATTAGATAAGAAAAAATGAAAAAAAAATTAAATTAAGAAATAATGGTTAAGAGATATGGTTTGTGAATAATCTTTTAAGAATAAATGAGGGAAGTAGATAATTAAAAACTTTGATAGTTTCCTTAGGTCATCGATCTGGTAGTATCTTGTTACACCCTCCGATTTTTAGTTAGTGAAAATGGGCTGTGTGCAAACAGGTAAGAATGATTCTCTTCATGTTTAGAGAACTATAAAGAAAATAGCCCTTGAATAACAGAATCTAGTGATGCAAAGACAATGGCACTAAGATTCTGGAAGAGTCATGCTCGTGAGCTGGAATGTGCCTGATGTCAGCTCTATTTCCCTTGAAAGTAGAGTTGCCCAAAGAAATTATTTGGAATTTCTGTTTACTGAAAAATATGTAGAAACTGGAATGTTATATTCCATTTTGAATGCCCTGTGTCTAACAAACTTTGTTTCATGCACTCCCATCTTCATAGGGAGCATGTGCAAGTACTACCAGAAGGGCTTCAAAAAGTACACAAATAGAAATAGTCTCTTAGTCTGTAGCAGAGTTTCTCAATATTCCTACAGAACTAGAAATAAGAAACAATCCACAGGGAGTCATAGCAAAACTCTCTAGACATTAAAATTGTAGAATGTCTGAAGGAATGCAAGAGGAGGAAAGGGATTCAGAAGTGGACAGTCTCATCTTTATAGGAACATTAATCAATAGTCCCTTTAGCCAAGCCAGTTTCCTATGCCTGCTGGTTAAAAAAAAAAATACTTCTTGGGTTAAAACCATGACCTTTCCTTCTAGTTTCACGGCAATAAGAACACGGAAGGCTAATAATTGGATGCTATTCAGACAAGACACCCTAACAACTATATTTGACAGCTCCTTAGATTTCCTAAATTCTTCAACCCTCTAAAATCTGCATTTTACCTTTGTTTATCAAGTGCTTATCCAAAGTCATTCTGCCAAATCAGTCATTTAAAGTTCAGGAGATAGCTTCATTCAGTATAAAGTACGGGTGTGAAGAACCTCAGGAAGACACAAAGGAAGGAAGAGGCTTTCTCTGGCCTCCTTTTGTTTTTCCTGTATCCAAAGCCAAACATGTGATCTAAATCATAAGCCTCAAAACTAAGGATCAAGAATATGGTACTTGTCTGTGGACAAAGCCTGTTCTAAGCATCAAACAGTATTGTTTTATTTTCACAAATCCCTATGCTTGATACAGAAATGAAGTTATCTTTCCCCGTAGGTCTGTCTTTCTTTACTGCAGGCTTCCAAAAGTGTGTTCACACACACACACACACACACACACACACACACACACACACACACACTGAGAGAGAGAGAGAGAGAGAGAGAGAATTAATATAAGTCTCACAATGCAGAAAACTACCAGACATAGCTGACTAGTGTTAGAGCACAGTCAATCGGTTTTCCCCCAAGTTGTATTCATGATCTTAGAATTTTATGGGAGGTTTTACTAAGTCATACTCAAATTTGTCTGAATATTTAAGTAGAATGGAGACCAGATTAAGTAAAATCATAATATGATCTAAAGGGGCCCCTCTTCCCAGGAAGTGTGTTTGAAGGCATTAGCAACTTAATTATGGCATGCTTTTAGTTAAAGTTTGCCTCACTCCTATAAATATCCTTTTGAGTCAGTTCATGTTCTTATACCTAATTTTAGTCTTTTAAATGAATGTACTGTAATGCTTGTGTGTGGATTCTATTATCTAATATTTTCTTTCTTTGAACATAGGGATTTGCTACTTGTTCTTATCAATGAGTATTATTACCCCAGAAGATGTTGCAAATGACCTTATATGATATTGTGACATGTACCATGATAAAGTATGTCATCTATGTTGGTACAATTAATGCCTAAATACTCTCCACAGCTTCTTTTTCTTTTCAAAGGTAGTTTTCTGTAGATATGTAAAGGCAAAACATGCCTATGTAACTGTTTACCAGGGAAAATAAGTTTACCAAGAAGTAAATACATTGGTTTTTCTTCATGTATAGTTTATTGTTGAAATAATATATGTCCTTACTTACATTTCAGTGCAACGTGAATAAGTGTGATTCTGCTGTTCTATCATGATTGCACTGTACATAGTAAGAGGAGAATGAGAGAAAATTACCTTTCCAGGAGTAGAGATGATAAGCAGTGGTTCATTTCTGTGATAGTGTGGCCTCCATAGCACAAACTGGATAGAATATCACAATTCATAGTAGTCTCATGCTTCTTTCTCTGAATAAAATGAAGAAATTTTTCTTCTTTAAAGAG